CTATCCATTCCCCCTGCTAGCTCACTCCCTGCAGACTATCCATTCCCCCTGCAGACTATCCACTCCCCCTGCTAGCTCACTCCCTGCAGACTATCCACTCCCCATGCAGACTATCCATTCCCCCTGCTAGCTCGCTCCCTGCAGACTATCCACTCCCCCTGCTAGCTCGCTCCCTGCAGACTATCCATTCCCCCTGCTTGCTCGCTCCCTGCAGACTATCCATTCCCCCTGCTTGCTCGCTCCCTGCAGACTATCCATTCCCCCTGCTTGCTCGCTCCCTGCAGACTATCCATTCCCCCTGCTTGCTCGCTCCCTGCAGACTATCCATTCCCCCTGCTAGCTCGCTCCCTGCAGACTATCCATTCCCCCTGCTAGCTCACTCCCTGCAGACTATCCATTCCCCCTGCAGACTATCCACTCCCCTGTAAGCTCACTCCTGCAGACTATCCACTCCCCTGCTAGCTCACTCCCTTACTGCAGACTATCCACTCCCCTGCAGACTAATCCACTCCCCCCTGCTAGCTCACTCCTGCAGACTATCATTCCCCATACCGGGCTATCCATTCCCCCTGCTGGCTCACTCCTGCAGACCTTATCCTCCCCACCTGCAGACTATCCACTCCCCCTGCAGGCCTATCCATTTCCCCTGCTAGCTCACTCCTGCAGACTATCCATTCCCCTGCTGGCTCCTGCAGACTATCCATTCCCCCTGCTTGCTCACTCCCTGCAGACTATCCATTCCCCCTGCTTGCTCACTCCCTGCAGACTATCCATTCCCCCTGCTTGCTCACTCCCTGGCTCGGTTTCCGAGGTGTCTCCCTATTCTATGCCGGCCCCCGGCTCCCATGTTGCCGCTGTTGGTGCTGAGTAGTCTCGCTCCCCCCCTCCCTCCATCCATTACAGAAATGCTCTGCCCCGGCCTGCCTCCATAAAGCGCCTGATAACATTCCTCGCCTCCCCCCCAGCTCGATCCATGATAGCCAGACTCAGTATCTGCTCCCTCCCCCACCCCACTCACTCATAGTCCCCGGTCGGCATGTTCTCGGTCTCACAGATGGCGCCTCCGGAAGCCGATGAGAGCAAGAGCGAGGGCTGCAGGAAAGTATAGGTCACTTCCGGTGCCGCTCTTGCACACTCTCGTTCTCTATGGTGCGAAGCAGGAAACGCACGGCTGACGCTGCAACTGAGCCGGGGCACGTGGCGCACGCGCAGCGTTACATAACCCCTCCCACTTTGCAATACTCTTCCGTGTGTAACCACTCCCACTTTGTGTTACTCCTCCCAGTGTGTAACCACTCCCACTTTGTGTTACTCCTCCCAGTGGCTTCTAGTGGACTAGGCACCAAAGGAGCCATGTTTATCCAGGCCAATGGAGCATGGCTGAGCTTCATGAGAGTAAATTCACATTAAGCTCTGCACAGTACACCCAGCTTACACACAGCTCATACAAAAACACTACCAGCTGGCAAGATGGCACTGGTAAGCTGTTTTGAAAAATAAACTTCACCGATTAGTAATTTTGAGACAGCAATGGCACTGGTCAGCAATTTGGGCACAAACAGGGCTATTTGGACGCAAAAGTGGCACTGACAAGATGGGGATAAAAATTGTTTGAGACTTAAATGGCACTGATTAGCCATATTGAAACATAGAATGTGACGGCAGATAATAACCATTCGGCCCATCTAGTCTGCCCAATTTCCATGATAGAACGCATTGCAACCTGTACGTGTCTTCCACTGCCAAGACCTCCCCACTTGTGTGCACATGCACACCTTCGCCTTACCCGGCACGGTATTTGCGGAATCTATAAGTTTTGCGGCAGCTCCCTCACCTTGCTTCTGCTGGAACAGGGGTAAGCCTGACAACCTCACCTGCCAAAGGCCAAAGGCAGGCAAAGAACTGGGGAACTGTTGTGTTAATAGTACTTGATAGTGCTCAGGGGAATTGGTGGGGAGGTCCTAAAAATTTGAGGGGTTTGCCTGCATGTTTTTCCCTCCAGATTAGAAATCCCTGTTGTAATGCACTGAGCGCTCTTGGGTCCACTTAGCAGGGTGCTTTTTGAAGGTGCACATAGAGGAAATGGACACCCCAGGATACCCTGGACTTGGGGGAGCTTCAAGTATTTAAGAAAAGCGCTGTTGTTTTGCGTGATTGGGACTTTGCACCCGGCCTTCTGTAACACTGGTCTGGATTGAATCCGGGCGTTTTTTGGACAGAGTGGGCGCTCAGAGGATATCTGCTGTTTTGGGATGTGGGCACTAGAACCCTGATTTTTTTTTTTTTACTGGGTTTTGTTAACCGTAGCCGAGGTGTTTGGCCACTAGACATGTGCAATTCGTTTCGTTCTGAATGTAAATTCAGCCGAATTTCAGTAATTCAGACCATTCACATGCTTCCGAATATCCGTATTTCGGAAGTGCTGAACCAAACCAAATTTCAGAAATTCCTCGGATTTCTGAAAAAGAGTCAAAACAAGAGAGGGAGGGAAAATTACGTGACTGATGACAGGAATCTAAACCTAGCCCTACCCCTAGATGTGTAAGTGGTTGTGGTGGTTAGGGAATTGCTGAAGTCCTGAATTTCAGAAGTGCCAAACCGAACTGAAATTTTCGCCCATGCACATCCCTACTGGCCACTAATTAAATTATCTATCTAGGTACAGACATGTCTCCTCTGCCTATTCCTTCCAGGCAGGTATCATCCCCTCTGCTTATATTGTTTGCTCCTGTCTTTGCAAAGACACTTGTGGCTCTCAGGGCTAGCTCTTGATTTGCCTTTGGGCTAGAGAGATCATGCAGCCAGCCAACAGGTCTGAAGACTGTTACTGGGATATCTAAAAATCCACACAGGACACTCAGGTCCAAAAGGAATTAACATACAAAACTTTATTTTGGACAAGGACTAGCCTTTGGAGACCAGTCCTTAAGCATGTGGTGACAAACATTGAAAACACAAATACATAGAACATTAGCAAATGAACAATTAAAATTAATACATGCACCATATAATACAAATAAAATTTCCAAACACAAAAAGCAATATGGACATTTAACTTCTTATTGCCTTGCCCTCATTTGCATAAAAGCCTTATACAAATGTTCACTCTAGTCAGAGTTCTCCAGTAACAATGAATAGTTTGTACATGGCTTGCTGCGGTCACGCACCTCTTTTAGTGACTTCTTGTATCAGCTCCATAGTCTGCGGGTAAGAGGCTGGCCTTCAAGCCTCTCCAAAAAGCCCTGACATGGGAGCTTCTGTCACAGCCGGGAATGTTGCAATTCCATCGTTTTCCTAGGAACCTCCTGTTGAGGCCCCAGGTATATAAGTGTGAGCATTGTCCCAATAAAAAAAAAAAAAACATTCTTCACCCTTCACTATGTCTTGAATAGTGTTTGGGTGAGACAGCTATACAAGCTAGAACACTGAGCTATAATCACTGTTCTATACGCAGAAAGGGGTAATCACAAAGGTAAAGGAGAAACTTGTAGACCTCCACAAGCTTCATGTACCAACAAAAAGCACCATTGTTTTAGGAGAGCAGAATTTGTATCCAGCGCTATGGAACACTGCACCGGATCAGAGGACCGTTAGGGCCCTGCGAAAAACTTCACCTCCAGCTAACTCAATATCAGAGTACTTTTTGGACATAGCGGGCATTAGTTTGGGGATGTGAGCAGAGGAACCCTGTTATGTGTTCATGTTAACCAGTGCAGAGGTGTCTGGCTGCTAATTAAATAGTTGTTCAAAGTACAGACATCAAGGCACTGAGAATGTCACATTGGCATTGTTCTCTGCTTGAGGACTCAGGTATACAGGTGTGGGAATTGTCCCAATAAAACAATTCCACTTCTATCCTTCACAAAGTCTCAGCTAATGTTTGGATGGAAAAGTAATATGTGAGATCTGCACTTGGGGGATATAGTCACAGTGAGATTCTAGGCAGCCACAACAATCTCTGCAAAGAATTCATACCATCACTATGCCCAAATGCTGACATTCCCTTTGGGAAACATTTGGGACATGCAGTTTCACCACTTGGTAGGAAACAAAGTAGATAGGGGAGACAATTAGATGCCAAGATTTTTAGCAGTGGATGCTCAAAACTAGTAGTGATTGCACGGCCGATGTGGTCTGCTGTATTTGCAAAGTTTGCTATTCAATTTTTTCCTTGTAATAGTTTCCAACACTCTGGTCAAGGCCCATTGTAGTAGCCTTGAACGAACCACTGGGTGTTCAATTTCAATGGGCCATAGTATACACAAGTTAGTGTCCACAATTGTATAACCAAATATGCAAGGAAGTTAATCTTTTCATCCTCAAATTTGTAAACAGACTTCCAGTTTGCTTTTGGACAGTTGTTACAATAAAGGACTTTTGCACCTCCACCTACCAGGCCGCTAGGTTTTTTTTTTTAACCACTTCAAGAAAAGTTTGCTCCTCTCTCCTCCTGTCTTGCTTTTCTAGTTTCTTCTGCCACTCTTAGTCTCAACTTCGTCTGTTCTTCAGGAACACTGCATGTATGATTTATTTATGGGGTGGTGTGTTAAAGTTAAAACATTTTGCCCACCAAGGCTTCCATTAGAGATAGCTAGATTATATTTCCCTGGTGGTGCATGGAGTTTAACGGTCACTTTGCCACCAAGTGCTACTCTGAGATGCAACTAGGTTACTTGGCCAGTGCTTTTGTCGCAGACAGAAGTGCCAGGACTGAGGGCACACCCAATATTACTTGCACCCGTTTGAGTGCAGACCGCATATTTACTTGGTATATCAAAGAGACAGGATAGTCAGGATCTTGATCTAAGAAGTCAGTGACGCTGTAGTGAACTCCTCTAGAGTGAGATATCCAGGTCAAGGACAAAATTTGACATATTGTAACCTTCAAATTAACAGGCATTGCTTGTGCATGGGTAGGGGGAAGAAGGGTACAAAATCTCCTGGTTGACTCTTGCCTTGTGGGGTAGCCATTATTATCCAACTGCTGTTGTAAGTACTATTTACCCTGCACAGTTTGAGGGTCTCCATCCCAGATACCCAGCATATGAGAAGGACACTAGGATTCAAGAACACCGTAGCATTAAAAGTAAAATTGCAAAATGTGTCAATGTGATTTCAGAGGGAGGTTTAGTAGACTCATCCCTGAGTCCATTTTAAATACATTTGAGAATCCTGAATACAACCAAAAACCCCACACCTTTGTTTTAGCATTCTGACAGTTATATAGGTAGTCATTTTATGTAAAAAGTTCAAACGGGTAAAGCCCAGCAACCCATGTAAGGTTGGCGTTTGAGGCATAGTCAGCATTTTACACTTAGCATGAACTTCATGGCAAATTTGTAGCAGAGTATGTTTTATTTAGCAAAGAAATTTTTTATTTTTTTAAAGATTTCCACTGCCTGATATTTGAAAGGCAAGGTCTTAGATCAGACAGTGGCAATGCAAGTGCTTTGCATTAACTTTAATGTACAGGTCACAAGATTGAAGCAAGGCATCACCAATAAATTTGAAAGCTCCCGGTTTGCCACATATGTTCAGTGTTTGTGGCACTTTCAAAATCACAGGTTCCTAAATATCAGAAACAAATTTAAATTATAACCATCATTCTGCCAACTCTGCATGAGGCAAGGGACAACTCTCCGAACTCTCCAGCTGCTAGAACAAGCCCATTAAGGTGGATGGATCTGTGCAGCTATAAGCTTAAGATATTTTTTTAATAATTGTCACTTCTAAAGTAAAGCGCATTCCTTTCCCTACAACATATTGCCAACTGTCCTGTAAAGCTATCAAGGTGTTGTTCTACAGCATGTTACCATTTGTGGCAAGTAGCACCATGCTGTACATTCAGCAATAGCACAAATTAAAGTAAGCACTATAAGAGGTACTATTTATTTGAAATATTACAACATATAAAAACTACGTAACTGCAACAAGTACAAATAGGGAAAACTGCAGCACAATGTATAGTAAAATCAGTCATTTAAAAGAGATTTGATGTTTTCAGTTCAAAAGTATTTTCAGAAGGTAAAATTGATAGCTGGAATGTCAAATCAATCAGATGCTGAAGATTTGATATTTGTAGTTAAAATAAAATACATATACGGATGGAGCAAGATCTTGGAGGTAGTCCTCCTGGGCAAGTGCATTAATTCATTTCCATCTTTTCATGCTTCACAATGTCTGTAAGAAGAGAAGATTGTAAATTGATAATCTTTGAGTCAGCCCCTTGTACTTATATGTACATTATACAGATTGAACTACTTTGCAAGAGGAAAAATAAAATTTTTGGACAGCTAAGGTTGAGCCTACCAGTTACTCCATTGCAACATAATAGCAGGCACTTCTAAATTAAAATGGTTACTAAAAAGTTGGGAATGCATTTCATTGGATATAAGGGCCAGGTTTCATTTTTCAGGATGTAGTTTGTGTACTACATCTAGTACTAGTAAGGTTTACATCTTGCACCACTTGAGGCCCAGAAAATATATTTTCAGACCAACCTGTTCCTTCTTCCTTCAGTCTTGTTGTAAGGCATGCTTTTATCTCCAAGCCAATTGCTTTTGCTAAAGGAGGTGGCACTGCATTTCCAACCTGAAATAAATACAGAAGGTAGTTATATGGTTGTATAAAGAACATTGTATTTTTAGAACCTGAACAGAACAGTTACCCACCTGCCTGTGTTTGTCCAAGATGTTACCAAATAGTCTGTAAGTGTCAGGAAAACCTTGAGATCGTGCACATTCCCTGACACTGACCACACGATGCTGTTCTGGGTGAAGAACACGGCCCTGAGAAGAAAGAAAAAGTTTAAGATTGGGCGGCTATAGTAGTTCAGAGCTATACAGACTGACACCACATTTCACATACAAGACTGAACAGCTTTACTAGCCAGATTAACATTGAAGCAATATTCAAGTTTATAATTAAGTCCTACAAGATTTTATTGGATTACCTGTTTGCCCATTGGCTCAGGATTTGTAACTGTGGTACTAAAGAAGCCGTCCCACTCCAATCTGCCATATAATCCAGCCCAGTGGTTATGCCTATTCCCAGTGTGTGGCAGACACCAAGGAATGAGTGTGTTAAACTGTCGATCAGCAGGGTCACATGGTTTACCTGAAAATAAACAGATTAAAGACCGCATATTTGCTTTAAAGTTAGGAGTGTTATTTGGTTAAGTTATCACATCTCTAGAATCAAGGATGCATTTTAAAACAGGATTTCAATTGTCAAACATGAGACTTCTAACATGTGAATATGGTTAATGTCGCCTCTGCAATAGCTGTACGTTAATAGGTCTGGACGATCAAGAAGAGAGCAAGGAGACCAGTTTGCTTTAAGTACCAATGCATTAAACAGCACTGCTCCTACACTCCCCCCCCCAAACAAGTTAGGCCTCCGATACTAGTCCTATATGATAAAAATAAAAAAATAAAAAAATTACCTTCAGCACAGGAACAAACACCCCTTAATGCCCCACTACTGCTGCGCCCATTCTTCTTATCCTTGTGATGGTAGCGCAGTTTCCGTGTAGTGGTGCCATCAGTAAGGCGTACTTCTATGTTTGGAAGGTCTCTCCAGTCTGAGCCAGGGGCAAGGGGGATGTGCCTCATTCTAGCAGCAACTAGGGCGCTCATGTCCTGGAAAAAAAAAAAAAAAAAAAGTGTAAAGCAAATATTCTATATATGATGTGTAAAGCAAATATTATAAAAGTTGTATAACCATCCCGCACAATCTAGGTTTTAACACAACTTAGAAAAGGCATTCAATATTTCTGTTGCAGGTGTCCAGATATAAGACATAAGAGACACCAATAGACCAGTAACCAATACAAGTTTAGCATAATTAAGACTTATTCGATTTTACATTCATAGAGATTATGGTGATGCATAATGGAGGAATCTTTGAAATACTGTAAAGTCTGCAGCTTTAAACTAGCATTAAAACATTTGCAGCTTAAGTAACTTCAAAAACCTGAAAATATTACTGTCATCTATAAGTAGCTCTGCAAATCAAAAACACTTTAGCAGATGATAATGCACCTTGCAGATATGATCTCTGAGAATTGGTTGGTACTGGGAGCCCCGAATCTGCCGCTGAAACCAAGACTGCGGTTCCCCATTGTAGGATATTTCCAGAGCAGATGCACCATTACGGATCTCTGGAAGGTCTGACATGGTATCCCGGACTGTAATGGTTCGGAAGAGGCTGGCGTTTGTTCTGAGATAAAGTTAAAAAAATTCTAAGTTGTTAGATAGGTCTACGCAACACCAATCAAACACACACCCAAATAAGGTGTTTTAGGCAAAGAGGAGATTTAGATAATCCAAACATTTGTGTGCCAAAACACCTGGGACAGATACCTTGTGATATTACTGACATATTTCTTTTCATCAATGACAACACTTAGCTGGCAGGCACGTGGAGCAAATACATGCAGAGGTTCGGGGAACATTGGCAGTTTCTCTCCTGGTGCAGCAGCAAGTACAATTGCTCTTCTACGAGTTTGTGCCACACCATACTGTCCAGCCTGCAAAACAAAGCATTGTGGTGTCCCATCAGGCTATTTAAACTCTAATAAAAAAAGTGTCTAGACCAAGCTGAATCAGCATTCCATCTGTAATTAAGGCTTATTTGACCAATTTTCTATCAGAATGGGATATACTGTTAAAAAGCAGTCAAGGACTACAGTCTGTTCATCCAAACAAGGACTCCACCTAAAACAAATTAGCTAGTCTGGAAAAACAAAACACCTCAAGCTATCTGGGAGATAATCTTTCAGGATTTTATTATGAGCAACACACAGCAATAGTCTCACCTGAAGTACCCCAAATGTACATTGGTATCCCATTCGTACAAGACAGCGGAGTGTAAGCTTGAGAACCATGGAACTTTTGAAGGAGACAAAATTTCTTACATTTTCCAATAGGAAGAATCTTGGTCGGTAGTAGTCACAATAGCTGCAAGAAAGAAGTTGTCAGGTAAAGTGTGTGTAAATCTCACAAGAGTGTTATTTACATCTGGTAGATTTATTTAAAGGATTTCAAGCAGCACGTGCTCCCTCAAGAAATTTAGTATGATTTAATTAAATGAGGTTCACTAGATGTAGCTCCCATCCTCTACTAAAAAGAACGAGCTGGACTTCCTTTAGTTCTCTTGAGCCAAGTCCTGCACTGGTTAAAAGCAATCAGCTGACATTCTTGGCCATTGAACTAAGCCCCACACTGCAGGACTTAAATCAGCTTCTGGATCTTCAACAAGTGGCGGTGGTGAGGGATGGCATTGGTCTGCCTCTTTACAATGGGGAGGGGTATAGAGCTTAGAGTGTTCCCTTAAAGCAGCATGTACATACATTTTTGGTTATCACTGTTCTGTACAAACACCAACATACCTGAGATAAGAGACTACCAATGAGTTCTTGAATTTAGAGTAGGTCCTGGAGTTGAATCTGTTCATTCCACTAAACCCTTGGCATGGTGGACCACCGCATAACATTTCTACATCTCCTTTCTGGGGTAGCCGCTGTCCTAAGGAATTTGTTTTCTCCCCAGCCATGACCAGCTTTAGTAAGACATTACAGTCTTCTGTAAACACTGTGGCACCTGGATTGTTTAGCCTAAAGGCCTGGGCCGCAGGGTCCCACATTTCAATGGCCCACTTTGACTCTGCCACACCTGGAGATATGAAAAAACCAAACACTTCCATTTAGGTTTTTCAAATAAAGTTTGGGAAGGTATTTTGAGCTGGCACAATATTTCTGTATTTCAGGGAATATTGAAGGTGCATTGTACAACTATGATCAGCTTGCTTTACTACCATTCAATGCTTACACTGGCAGTAAATGCCTGCTACAAAAGCTGTAATTATTTCTGAGGCCCACCTTTAATAGAGCAGATTAAGCTCATTTTATAATGGGTTTTAATTTAGGCATACCAGGCAGCGTAAAGACATATGCACTTTAAATGACTGTCCCTTGAGTGTTTTTAAAGTTCAGTCTAGGTCTGCAGTGAGGGACTACTTGGTAAGTGTTCACTGTAGGAGATGCAATATGAAGGGGAGGAAGGGAGGTCAAGTTTCTAGTGTAATAACCAATTGAATATGGATGGCAGTTTATTAGGACAGGAAAGGTATAAATCCATACCTGCTTGATGGAAGCCTTCAGACAAACCTCCACAGCCGGAGAACACATCCAGTGTACGCAATTTTGGCATCGTGTCTTCTGCAGCTTGTTCACTTTCAGACTTCACAGACAGCACTTTCCCCTTGCCTGCAAGTTGAAATGGTATAGGTCATATTAAAGAGAACAAGATCATGTAACAGTTGTGAGGAGACTAGTATAGTCTGTACCTTTCCCCTTGCCTTTTCCTTTTCCTTTCCCTTTGTTTACAGCACTGCGTGCATGGTTAGGAGGATCCTCAAAACTCTTAGTCTTTGCATTATAGGCCTTAAAAAAAGGAGGGACACACAAAGGTTCTCATTAGAAGTGAGATTTTAATCACCACTTTAAAAGGGGGGAGGGAGCAGAAGATAAGGTTTTTGGAAGCCTACCTCCAGAAAGTAGAATCTGTCTGCACCTCCTGCTGAATATTCTTGGATTGACTCCGTTAGATCTTCACCATATTCTACAGTACAGCGCCCTTGAACATCCTTTAAGGAAACTACAGTTTCCTCATCACTCCAGTAGACCAAGTTAATGTCTGCATGGTAACTAGCCTTGGAAGCCTTATGTGTATTCTCAGGCCTGTGAAATAAAAAGTTTTGTCAAAGAATATAGAAATTTATGTGCATAGCAGAAGCTACTTTAAGCGCACATAAGCTTGCCACCCTGTAGTAGGAGTATACTAGAAGACCACTGTGTGTTGCCCTTGAAAAAAAAAGGAAACCACCAATGGCACTATCCTAGCATTACCTATGAAGTACTTTTTAAAGTAGTGGTAATTTTTTCAGACAGTCCCTTTAATATAGACATTGCATTTTTTACATTTTTGATGTGATTAAAAGGAAACCTTGAAGATTTTTGTAACGCTTCCAGTGAGATGAATGCCTAAAGGTTGTCCTCAATCTTTACTTGTGTTAATGTATTTCTTTGTAGCATATTACGTTTGAGGAACAAGTCCCCATATCCCTCGTGGCTGAGCCTGCTCCAATCGGCACTGGATTAAAAGTTTAACTCCAATCTAAGATAAGCATAATCACGCTCCCCGCCCCTTTCCCTTCTTCCATCTACACCAGTGCACTGTATCTTCCATCCTAGAGACTACTATGGAACTGTGGCAGTTGCAACCCAATCAAAGCTTGCCAAGAACCAGGGGGGGAAATCCATAGGGGAAGCCATTTGCACAGTTGCACATTAAAACTTGGACCAACACCAATGTTCATATTAAGTTAAGGAAACCCAAGGCCAATCATACCTGTAGAACTTGTAAATCCTCAGTTTTATGTCAGCTTCATTGGGTTTTCCAGTGCTGCGCTTGTGGCAGAAGATCTCCTTGATTCTGCCCATTCTGTAAGGCTCTGGAGCATCAAGATTGCTACCCTTAATATAGTCTGAGGATTTGCGATAGTTTTCTGGGTAGAGATCTTCATCCACATCCTCTTTTTTGTTAGGCCTCTTAAAAGGAGAAGCCAGCTTAACACTGAAAGACAATTTAAACAAATTAGAATAGAAAAGGATCATTCCAAACCCAATAAAGAATTATTTTGACCAAAAGCTGACAAAAAGGCAACATGTTTCAAGTGTGCTTTAGAGTAAGTGACTCCGCACAAAGTTTGTGAGCTGAGTTTGAGTTGTTACATGATACAAAAGATGTTCATAAGCAATGGATCAACATCATACCTAAAAGAAAAGGCATCAGGCAGCAGTAACACACCATTCCCAACTTTGTACTGAACACCATTTTTTGATGCCGTGCTGTAGAGTACTTTATCCTGAAGGTCTTCCACAGGATCAGACACACGTGGTATCTCCCTTTGCCTTATTTCATCCAGTCTGGCACAGCTGGTACAGAACCTAGAGAAAATAGTTGATGAAGATTACTTTCTAATTAGAGACAAATAAGTATTAAGTCTTGCTGCAATTTTGGATTCCATTAGCAGTGCTCAAGATTTCTTCTACCGTTTGAGTGTAAAAATGTAACCCGGACAAGTAGAAATTAATCTTTAGTTAATGTGCTACAAACCCTCCAAAGGAGGTAGTGAAAAGTAACTTTTAAGGCCTGGCTAGTAGCACAATAGCTGAAAATTAAGCCCTGCCATTAACATAAGGAACAATGGGCAAAAACTTAATCTCAATGAAGTTATGGAGCCCGAGGTCATAGGTATAGTCCTACCTTAAGGCTTAACCTCATTTTTAAAATTTTCCTCCATGGAAAACTAGCAATGGACCAAGCTTTAGTGGATGCTTTCAGCCGACAACTGCACCTAAGCCTTCACATTAAAACTGGGGACTTGGCTGGATCAGTGGACAGGTGCCATCTACACAACTTTGGGGTCAAACTATTGGTAAGCCAGTTAAGGTGCTCATAGTGTTCATTTAAAGAAAATGTTGCCGGCATAAAGCTGCAAAGCTGCTAAGCACTCCTTTAAATTCCAAAAGTGTTTTGGGGATGTAAATTTGACACATTCACTTTTGACAAGCAAACTTGAACACTTCCCATTCCTGAACAAGTACAGTTTGTAAACCACAAGGAAATGTTGCACATGAGAGAAGGGTGGTGAGTTTGCTTATGCATAGCCTTTCCCCTATGTTTCAATAACAGTTGACTTAATTCACAGGTTCAGCAACTACATTAAACAGATCTTCCAGTAGCAGACAGCAATATTTCTAAACAACACCACTCACTTATATTTATTGTCTTCAGTTGGCTGTATCTTTGGTGGCGTCTCAAAACGAGCATATTCAGGGTCATACCACAGCTGGTAAAAATATGTTCTGCCATCTTCATCCACTACCTTTATGTCAGTATCCACTCCTCCCTGTGGATAAATGGGAGCAATAATCTATGAAGGATTACCGTGTAAAGATGAAATTTAAAAGATCACCAAGCTGGCTGTAGTGGTTATGAAGCAGTTCCAGGTAAGGGAGCAAAAGATTTGTAATGGTTTGCCTTTTCCTTCAATGCCAGCATTGTCACATCTGGCTTATGCAGAAACTGGATGATAATCCTGCTGGTTATTCAGTGGCCGAGAGCATCAGCTACGCTGCCAGTGAAAGATAATATGTGCAAGGAATACACAGAGTAGACCTTAGCTAGCCTGGAACTCTTGTTCTGGGCTGGCCAATGATGCTGCCAGAAGTGGAGTTAAAGATATTTGGGCTAGCTGCTGAAGTTGTATGTGCAGCATTCCATGAGAAAAAGCCAGAAAATCTGTATCCTTGCATCATGAACATTTCAAAAACTAGATGACAAGTTGTCATGGTGCTTTGAGTAACCCTTAAATATCTTTATAGCAGTTTGTTTTACCTCCTTTATAGAGACAAGGAGAGGGAATGAGGAAGAAATCCCCCCCCCAAAACAAAAGATCCTTAGCCAAAGATAGACAAACTGGTATATCCAATATATTGTTCCTTACTATTGGTGCCCAAAGGCTTACTAAAAAAAACAAAAAAAAAAAAAACGACATTCTAATCGGGCATTTGAGTAGTTGGTGTATATAATTCTGCTATTAATATTCAATTATATGACAGTATACCGTTTTGGAAACTAAAGTGAGACAATTGCACATCATGTAGTTGCTCCTTAAGACAATTAAGATCTGCACACAAATGCGAGGACATGCAACCAAAAAAGTTGCACAAGAAAAAAAAGTTTACATATAGTGATGATAGTGTGACAATCTAAGGACGAACACCACATTTACCACAGTGAGAAATTCTGAATTCATGGTTTCAGATTAGTCCATGAATATCGGTAACTATAAAAGACTACCAACAACCTTTCTAAACTCACCTCCATAAACCAATCATCAGATGGTGCCTTGTAGATCACATTGACTTTGCCATGAATGTAGGACAACTGCATGTCCTCACACTCATCAACCAAGAAAAGTTCTAAAGGATCGGATGTTGCCCCAAGGGCAGTGTCTGTTCCAAGACAGAACCAATGTGCGTGAAACATGAGCCCTCCAGCATCTTCCCACATGGACGTGATCCTTTTAAAAGGTGAAAAAAGCCACACAATTACAAACTACATATTGAAAAAATAAAATTAGCATTTCCCTAAATAAAAACCCATTGTATTGTAAAACATGCCCATCAAGTGCTGGTGTTCCCAAATAGGTACATCTATCCCAGTCAAAGTAGTAAAGACTGCCAGTATGATTTTTAAATCTACAAACCTAGCCAAGTAGAGTGGTTCTGTTGGATTATCAGGGCTCACAGACACACAATCACCAACTTCCAGAACTTCAGAGTCCATTGACACTTTCTGGTAATATTCCCTCTTTCCATCAACCTATGACAGATTGGTTATAAGCAAAGTAAACATCCTTTACAGATTTGATTGAAGTCAACATACCATTGTTAGCTTCATGCACATCTTCAGAAAGTCTCACTAAATCTGTAAAGGCAGGCCAAAACTATTAAAACACAAACATTTACCTTGACAGGGTCACCAATCCAGGATATCCTGTTTTTTTTCTCTTGCTTCTTTTTTTTACCCTGGAGGATTTTCTTAGGAGATGGCATTTCTGGAATATTGTCATCTACCTCTTCATCTTCATCAGCCTCCTTCACAGCAAGATTTGGACACCTGAATGACATGAGAGAAGTGAGAAACAACTAGGAGAGCATTAAGTATAACCCTCCCCAGTGTATCAATTTATTTTACCTCCTTTGTAGACAGGCTTGCTTACTACGCCCACTTCCACCAAACTTCACCATGTCCTTACAAGCTCTACATGTTCCACATTCAGGTTGCTGACATACCTGCGAGAAAAAAAGAAAAAAGTAACCCCATCTGGATATTGTAGAAGTAACTCCAATAACTTAACATTGTGTCCAGTTAACAATTTGAGGATATTTGAATGTTTCATGCTACAGGCACAGAGTAGGCTTGTGTCCCACGTCCACACACTTATGCTGATTTGGTGCAGGGACTTGCCTGGCAACTAAGGCAGTCCCCCCAGAACACAAACTGGCAGTTACAGAGGTTACAGGCAATAAATAGAAACACTGGGAAATTACACATGTAAAGGTTGTCAGACTGTTCACTTGACCAGAAGAGCTTGCAGACAATTTGTTACAAAAAAAAGGAAATTAGGATTGACAGTATAATTTTATTAATTACCAATTGTCAGAGTTTTAAGTGAGGTGATTTGATCTTTGAACGTTTGTGTTATTTCTACAAGTATAATAAAAACACTGTCTAGCCCATTTAAAAAATAAAAAATAAAATTACAATTTGTCTCTGAATAAAGATACCACACAAGACAAATAACTTACCACACACTTGCAAAAAAACATTGCAGTTTCTCTGAATTTGGAATGGGCATGTCTATAAACCAAAGCCACTTCATTAAAGTGAATTAGTTTAACGGATTCAAACATCCATTTAACTAGGTCTCATGAACCTTAACCCACAAGATTATATACAGAACATACCTCACAAACACCACAACGCCTACGTTTTGTGTTTTCTTGATCTTCATCCTTTTCAATTTGTTCAGAGAAGAAAGTGTCAAAAATCTGATACACCAACTTTGTTGTAGTGGCTTTTGTAGGGCCTTTGTCTTTTGCAATCTTTGTGGGATGTCTAATAGTTTGCCTTCTTGCAGCACGTCTGGGGGGGAGAAAGGCGATAGATAAGATGTAAGGAGTTTAAATATCAGCCATCTTTAAATAAAATATATCAATATAAAATTGGCCCAGTTACCATAATATTTACAGAAGATTTAATGTTGTGACCCAAGCAACACTAAGTCACCCACCTTTTCCCAAGGGTGACACCAGCCAACTTTATTAAGTCTCTCATGCAAGGTGTTACTATAACTGGTTGCTCATCACTGTCTCCAGCTTCATCATAGCTCTCCACTTGATCTACCACAAATTGAGCATGTCTCAGCAGAGAATCTTCTGTAAAGCGGTTAAAGTTCAATCCAGAAGGCGGTACAGTTGTCTGCAACAGAAATAAATGACATTTTGATAAGAATATCTTCCAAAAGTGATTTCTATTCAGTAGTGTCATTCCGGTTTATGGGGCAGGAGGTTATCCCATAATCCAGTGTCTTTGGGATAAGTAGTTTACCTATAAGTGTTCTAATCAGTCAAAGTGACTTGAACTGCTCAAACTGAAATCCAAAGCACAGCAGATATTTTATATACACGTCTGGCTCAGAGTTTAGTAAAAACAGACTGTTACTATAGGATAAACAGTGGACTGAATGGGTAATCAATGGCCTTGCTCTCAGGAAAATAGAGCTTTTCCTATGGCGAGAGGACTTACTTCGATTTTGTTGAGCAAGTCTTCATAAGTCACATCAGGATTATTCTGCAGGAACTCCACCACTATCTTGCTCATGTAGATCTTCTCCTGCATTAGAGCAAATATAGTCTCATATTCCTCACTTGGATCCATTAGTATGTAGTCTGCAAAACCTGCAAGTTTGAAGAGAATAACATTGGTTCTACAGGTCATAGCAACGCATACAAGAATGTTTGTCAACTAGCACACCCTGGCGCGCCCCTCGCCACAAAAATCCTTCCTAAAACATCTTTTGAAAGAATGCATTTGAGAATGAACACTTTCAAACCAAAACATGGTGAATGGTCTTAAAGCAATTATACCAAACTCAAAATCACGAGATTTTAGATTATATCTGCAGTTTTTATATGCTTTTTGGTTTTCGGTGGGAGAGGGTCCCAAAAAAATAAATTTAAAAAAAAAATTAAAAAAACAAGCTACACATACCCGTTGTGAATCCAATCAAGGCCCTTTCACCTCCATCAAAGCCTGTGATCCACCAAGCATTAATAGGACCTAGTTTCTTTGCCCGTACGCCACCTGTCAATGAAACAACTCTGTAGCACAATTAAGAAAGTCAACTTTTAAATACAAGTGTTAATAGTTCATAACCTGTGATAATATTGGTACCATGTAACTAGTTACCAGGTGAATACCTTAGCTGAAGTTTATTCTGACTTTTCACCCACGTAAACCCTTGTGCGCTTTGGACAGTTTTACAAAAAAAGGTAGATAATATTTCAGAGAGGAAAGGGTGAGTGAAGACACTTACCATCCAGAGAAGGGTTGTCATCATAAATTGGTTTTACAACACCACTAAAATACAGCTCAATGTTCTTCTCAATAAGACCAGAGTCAAAAGGGCACAAGTGCCCCCTTTTATCATAAATACTGAAATATAAAAAACAAAAGACATTAAAAAAAATTAAGTAGAGTAATTTAAAATAGAAACCATTACTAATAGGATTCCCTTTAACCACCACGTGATTGAGATGCAGGGTACATCAATATTAAAGTGGTTTGTGGCTTAGGATGATTGTACAGTTTGTGTGTGGGGAAACCTATCGCTCAGAATGATTACGGCTTTTAGGATGCATGAATACCAAGGGAGACCAAGAGTTGATCAGAATGGCATGGAAGCCAGTTTTGAATGTGTCTTGTCTGACAGTTAAATTTCACAGGAAAGGATACCAAACTCCCATAATATCTTCAGTATTAATCGAAAAACCAAACATGGTCCAGACACTCCAGATCTGTCAAAGCAGCTTTACTGAAACAATTTCACCCTACGCAGAGGACTGTCAAGATTGTTTCAATAAAACTGATTTCTGACAGATCTGGAGTAACTGGACCACATCTGACAGTTAAGACATGCCAGTGCTATTACTAGTGCCCACACCAACAGTAAAGTAACTATATACAATTCCCATTCTAACCATCTTTATGGTTGGAAGGCATTTTAATGATCTGGATAGTCAATGCATGAAAGGTGAAAGCCAACTAAAAACCTTTGAAGTTCCTGTATTTCCTGAAATTCCTCTGGCTTCTCAGTAAGCACCCGACAGTGTAACTCCTTTATCTGTAACAGTTCTGATCTTAGGCCACAAAATATACCAAACATTTCACGAACCTAAAGTTTGTGACTCTGTGCTGGGGGAGGTCATCATAACTTTCAAAACCATCTTCATTGGCATCAAAGAGAGATAAGCGTTCATCTGTCAGCATTTCAGGCTCATCTACCTAGATAATTAGAAAAAATTTGTGAAGCATACAAAGAATTAAAAAAATTCCCAGCCTGTTCTTAAGGAATCCAAAAATTATGAAAAAAAAAAAAAGGGAGGCCAACCACGAAAGCTTAACGAACTGGGGAGGGGAATAAAATACATATAGGTTTTGGAAACAACCAAAAAAAAAATAAAAAAAAATCAAACTATAATTTAATTGTTATTCAGATTGAAATTTATATGAATATAAAAAGGATACTCTAGCTTAAGCGCGCTATGGCATATAATAAATGCCCCAAAACCTAAGAACTTACAGCATCAACCGGATCTCCTTGGAAGAATTTGAGATCTGGATCATCTAGGTACTGCCTGCAGTCCATGCACTTTGGTGGAGGAGTCTGGATGAGAAAGATGCAAGTCATTTTACAGTATTTGGTTTTTCGGCAAACATGGCCCTTAACATGTTATTGCTAAAGCCCTACCTTAGGCTGTTGCACTGGTTTTGATTTTGGCGTTTCCACAACTGCAGCCCTTTAAAGACATTTGACAAACAGTCCATATTAATACAAGAAAATTTAAATACTCCTTAATTCTGCTGATTTTAGTGAAAACTAAATTATTTAAGGAATTAGAAGTTGTATTTACCAGACTCCTACAAAAAATAATAAGTCACACATCAGGGATTATTGAAGTAAATAACTATATTGCTAGACTAAAGCTGCATTACCCGTCACTCTCATTTGATTCAACTTTAATCCTTTTCTCGTCCTGTTCTTCCTAGGAGAAGAAATAAAGTCACAAGCAGGAAGGTGTACTATGGCTGCATAAACAAAGTCATTAAACTCCTAAATGGCAGAATAGCGACACTGTATGGACATTGTCTGTACACCAAAACCACTACATGAAGCTAAAGTTCTTTTGATGCCTATAGCATTGCTTTAACTTTGTTACAACTCCCTAGTCGTCAATTAGAACTGATCCAGTGGAGTTAAACTCAAAGGCAGACAACGGCAGAGAGCATCTTTCTTGCAAAGATGCTACAGTTTACCTTTGCATTACATACAGGAGGCTCCTGCAAGGTCTAGCAAGCCATTAACAAAGCAGGAAATGCATTCTAAAATTAAACAGAATTTGTAACAAAGGAAGTGTAAATATTAGATGACACTTTACAGGAAGTGTTTAGGAAGGCAGTGTAAGTCACACACACAGGGAGACAAGGCAAGGCCTGTATAAACTTAACTCCTAAGTGGCAAATAATTTAGTAGTGAGACTCTAGAGGCATGATCTATACATCAAAAACTTAAAGCAGTTTGAGTGACTAGTGTCCCTTTAAGACTATTGCAAAAAAAAAAAAAAAAAAAAAACACACAATACTGAACAACCCCCCACCCATTTTTTTTTTTAAAAAAAACACCCTCTTACAGTTTCTGGTTGCTCCTCGTCAGCTGAAGGTTCAGGTTCTGTTTCACCATTAACATCATTTGATTTCCTCTTGCTTGGTCTGTAAAAATTATAGGCAACAGTTACTCAAGAACCAAATATATCATGAATGTAAATATTTTATGAAATCATGTTGACTCTAAAGGAGACTCCAGACAAACAATTTTAGCTTACTGAGAAGCTTTGTGTGAATTGTAATTCCTCTCATTTTACAAAAAGTGAAAATTTCGATATTTACACACTTTTATAAATTAATCTGATTACACCCCATGGCTTTCAAGCAACCGGTCTTGTTACTTCCTGATTTTGTTTGCTCAGTGGAGTTAATCGCAAGAGGCAATTGCTCAGGGAACCTGCCTTGTAAAGATTTCTATTTGAGCTGCATTGGTAAGTCTGACTGGACAGTATGGAAGGAGGTAGAAGGGGAGGGATTGCAAGGGCAGCAGATGAGATCAGCAGATTTTGCTAGTCGTTTTTAGGCTTTACCGCTCAATGAAACAATGCATGCAATTTTTCATTCTGGTTATATCTACTAAATGTCGATTTTTATTTTGTATTTAGGTAGTGGAGTGTCCCTTTAACAGGAATGACATTCCAATGTCAAATCATTCAAGATAAGGCAAAGAATGGGCTAGTTTGTCTTATGGGCAATACAGAGTTTGCCCAGAGGGAGAGCCACCTACACCTTATACAAGTTGCTTTATGAAGGTTCCCATTGCCTTGTTCATAGAACTTCATGTATTCATGCAAGCACAAGAATATAGCCATGAAACAGACGCCTGTCAGATGAAGCACCAGGAGCTTAACCTAAAGTTGCATACAAAGCAGGCATGTCCAGCATACAAACTTCTGAAGCTATATCAAAAAATAAAAATTCCAAAAGATTTTTAATGTAGCATACCAGTCACAGTGTAGAAAATACTAACCCTTTAGCAAACATTGAAAGAATGGTGGGTTGTTTGCTAGTACTCCTAGAAGAGCGTGAACGGCCCAAGGACTCTAAAAACAAAATTAGATACAATATGTTTAAAAAAACCAAAACTAATCAAGTACATCCAATTTTGGCAATTTCATCAGTAATTTATTCAGGAAACTTCTGTCACCATAACCACCACAGCAGGCAACTTGCGGTGTTTGTGGAGCACTACTTTACCACCCTAGATTGAATCTAAAGCCAATAACAGATGGGACAATTCAAACTAAAGGGCAAGTCTTGAATTTAAAAACCCTGCATAGCAAAGTGTTTTGATTTCTAGCTAGTTTTATTAGATGCCACCTGGAAAACAAGGAAAATAGTCAAGTTATTTAAGGGGAAAATACACATCCAGGGAAGTGAGTTTCCTGTGCTGAAGGGAAAAAAAAAAGTTTCAGCATTTACAGGGCGTGATCAAGATTACCAGACTTCACAAAAAAGAAAATGAGCCAACTTAACTAGGTTGTGCTAAAATAAATAAAAAAAAGTTATATTGCCTGTTAATTCCTACTTGTGTAGTAGAAAGCATTTAAATGTCATTAGCGAACCAATAGGCTCTCTATATCATGGCAAACTACAGTGTGCGCTAGGGACATTGTGTCTTAAAGCAGATTTGTTTAGAGAAAATAATGTGTGTAGGTCACATTTGCTTTCTAACTGAAGCTTGTATAACCACATTCATTTTAGGGCCTCTAGACAATAAACATGAAATAGGTGACTTACTACTTTTGCACTCTCCATTTGTTTTGCTTTTCCTAGCTTTTTGCCCTTTGCTGTCCGCTGCTGTAGAATCTGCCATCTCCACATCATCTTCGTCACTAACACATGTACCATTCGGGGAACAACCATTTGTCTCCCCATTTGCAGGGGCATCTCCATTTTCCATGTTAAGTTCCTTGTGAAGAAGGGCCTTAACCTTTTTCAGATAACCACCCTGAAGAGGAAAATAAATATTGCGCAAAATGCAAATGCACTCTATACAGCAGTTATGACTTATTACCACTGCACACATCCTCTTCCATAGAATTTTTCTTGGAGGGAGAGAAAGCACCAGAACCACCTAATCATATTGAAGGGGCGTTTGTGTACAGAACCTTTTTTGTGCATTGTCCAAAAAGGCAAAGTTAACATTTGTTTTAAAGCACACTTCTAGTTGCTGACTTTGTGGAGACTATTGAAAAATATAGTCCAAGTTAAATTAAATTACTTTTAAAATTGTATTTTATTAAAGTTAAAAACAAACATGCAGTGGATTTAAAAAACAAAACAAACCACAAATATAAAAAGTAAAAAACAAAAAAAAACTTGTGATCAAGCTTAGGTTTGAAACGAATCACAAAGTGTCCACATTTTTCAAGTCACATTCTAAACTTTATAGGATCAGGAAACATGTACTGCAGACCCTACAGTGTTAACATCAAGCACCCTCCCCCACCCCCACTTAATATAGTAAACTCTTACTTTTATTCCAGTCTGCTGCCTCTGATCTGCCTGCTTGGCAGACATCAGAAGTCACTCAGCCAATCACAATGCTTTCCCATAGGAGACTGCTCCTGATCTGCCTCCTTGACAGAGCCAGCACAAGCCAAACAGCATCTCAGAGATACATTGAATCAATGCATCTGAGGAAAGTTTCCATGCAGAGGGTGGAGACACTGAATGGCAGTGACACTGCCCCAGGAAGCACCTCTATCAGCCATCTGAGGCATGGCCAGTGGAGTTATCACTAGGCTGTAATGAGCAGACTCCTTCCCCAGATGGATAGGGACACTAATCACCATGACAACATTCGCTTAGAAGGAATACTACAGGCACCCAGACCACTTCAGCTCAATGAAGTGGTCTGGGTTCCAGGTCCCCCTAGTTTTAACCCTGCAGCTGTAAACAGTTTCAGAGAAACTGCTATGTTTAAACTGAGTGAGCTTTCCTATGGGGAATTGAGCGACGCTGGAGGTCCTCACACAGCGTGACGATGTCCAGCGACGCTCTAGCAAAATCTTTGCTATGATTCAGGAAGTGCCCTCTAGTAGACAGCCACTAGAGGTGGAGTTAACCCTTCAATGTAATTATTGCAGTTTATTAAAAAACTGCAATAATTACAGTTGCAGGGTTAAGAGTAGTGGGAGTTGGCACCCAGACCACTCCAATGGGCAGAAGCGGTCTGGGTGCCTGGAGTGTCCCTTTAATGAAGGAGTTTTTAGTGTATAAATCACGCCCCTGCAGTCTCACTGCTCAATTCCTTGCCATTTAGGAGTGAAATCACTTCTTATGCAGCCCTAAGTTACATATAATTGAAATTAAACCATTTTGTTTACATGTAGGCTGTGTCAGTCACAGCCAGGAAAGGTGTGGCTAGGAATGCATTTACAGAAAGTGATTTAGCTCCTAAATTGCAGAGAATTGAGAAATTAAGCTTCAGAAGCATGATTTACACACAAAGACGGTTTCATTAAGCTAAAGTTGTTTTGGTGACTATCATGTCCCTTTAATATAAACATATAGGAGCCCCTCCCTACCCATCAGCCCTCAGTCTTTGTTTGTCTTATCCCTATAGTACATAACGTTTTTCGGTCCAATTTGGATATTCACAATTTTTTTTGTCTTACCTTGGGATTGTAACCCCAGGGGAGTTAAGCCTCTTCCTTAAGCTCCAAGATGTGGCCCTGTTTGAGTCAGGAAAGGTGTGGCTAGAGCAGCATAAACAGAAACAGTGTGCAGCACTGCCCCAGGGAGTACCTCTAGTAGCCATCTGAGGAGTGGCCAGTGGAGGTATCCCTAGGCTGCATTGTAAACACTGCATTTTCTCTTAGAAGACAGTGTTTACTACAAAAAGCCAGAAGGGAACAAATACAATAAGCTGTTCTGGTGACTAGTGTCACTTTAAAGTCATCTGGACAATTGATTAACACCACTACCCATTGCAGTGTTTATAGTACCAGAAGTCAGCTTACTTGGGTTCCACTGGGTATCATCCTTGCTGCATACACTGCATCCAGACTTGTGGCAGGAGAAGCCAGGTTGCTCTACAGAGTTAAGAGTTGTTGCAGCACTGTGCTAGTTAGCCAATTGAGCACACACACTGCTATCTCAGAGCAAAGCAGGACTGCAGTCATCGGCCAAGCAATAACATCCAACTTCTGTTGGGGAGGCTGAATGCGTCACAAATGCTCAGTGGGAGCAAGCTAAGTGGTCATCATGTTTTAACAGTTTTACTGTTCCTCAAATATCGTGTATAACCACTTAATAGCGCAATGTACCTCAGACAGCTCTTTTTTGCTCAGCTTGTTCTCCAGATCACTCAATCTGTCTTTGACACCTCCTTCCAAGAAATCTTGCAGTGAACCAAGCTTCTTTTTAATACATTCCTATTCAGAAACAAAAGTAAATTGTTAACCTAAAATTGGTAGTTTTTTTTTTTTTAAAACATTACTCTTTCGTTTTGAAGATCAGAAAGCAGATGTTGGGCATGGGACTTTGTCACAAAAAAAAGCATAACTTCTAAAAAGGTAAGAAACCGCCAGGAATCTTATTGCAGCATAGCAATTTCATTTTGATGCTGAATGATATACACCTACCTTTGCTATCAAGTCATCTTCCAAGTCCTTCAGACTGGAGGAAAAAAAAAAGTCAAGTTAGCATTAAACTTACAATACAGTCTAAAGATTCCTTAATGAATTTAGCTATAAAAGGATAAAGGTTGCTACTAGTAAATTGTTAAGGGTAAAGGCTCTTCAGATGTGGTACGTCTGTGACCAAAGACTTATTGCCATATGTTCATTATACCACAAATCACGCATTCTGTTCCATAGCACTGAAAAAAAAAAATCTCAGTTCGGCACATTTATATACAAGTGCAACTTAAAGGAACACTATGGTGTTAGGAATACAAAGCTAGGCTTTCCATTTAAAGCATGAAATCAATGTTTTAGTAAGGGGGATTGAAGACACTTGTCTCTTGCACAGCATGATGAGGACCAGTGTTTCACAGAGTTAAATCTGAGAAAAGTCACTAGAGGCAGTCTTAACCCTATAATAAAAAAACATAACAGTTTCAGTTTGCAGGGACACTATAGGCACCCAGACCACTTCAATGAGCTAGTGTCCCTATTGCACTTAGTGCTGCAATATTAAATTGCAGATCCATTGAAACTGCAATGTTTACATTGCAGCACTGAATCTGCCTTCAGTGACTGCCTCCCACACAGCCACTGGAGATGCTTTCTGGATCCTAAATGACCACTGGTCAGTTAACTGACGCTGGACGTGCTCACGCTCTCCACAAGGACATCCAGCGTCAGATTCTTCCCAATATAATAGCTTTGCTTCAATGCTTTCCTATGGGTTAATCCAGCCTCTAGTGGCTGTCTCATTGACAGCCGCTAGAGGCCGTTTGTGAGACGCAAGCGTCCATAGGAAAGCATTATGAATGGAGGAGAGGAGGTAGCAAGGGAACAGCAATCTTCCTGCTCCTCAGAAGCCTTCTAATAATGCCGGGTGCAAGAATATGATGTCATTAGGGCCCTAGCATCACTAAATAATGAGTGATTAAAGCAGGAAGATAACCGCAGTTCCATCGGACCCCAGGGAAAGCGGAACCACTCCAGACCTCCAGGAGTACAGTTTTGACCGACAGCACATGTGGAGTCTACCTAAATTAGTTCCAGAAGAAAAATGGTAGTGGTCAGTCACTTTCGGGAGTTCCAAAACACTGACTGGTAGCGATTGTTAGTCTTGTTCGTGCGCACCTTTCCACCGAACAGCACTATCCTGGCTTCTCGGGAACAAAAATAAAAAAAAATATAAAAGGTTCACAAGTTAAGAGTGTCCATCTCAGAGTTCAAGACACTTGACAACCAAGTACCGCTGCATGCATTCGGCGGACAAGATGGCACGTGCATCGGTTGAATGAACAGCGGCCGCCCAGAGACAGCAGGGGGTGGTCTGATTTCGGTAGATGGAACGACTAAATCCAAGGGAAAATAACTTGGGCGTGAAAAGTAATAGGGGTTCAGGGCAGTTTGTCACACCAGGTAGACTAGGTGGTGTGAACACTAAAGGGTCAGTTAAAATATTATATTTAATGGAAGGAGGGGCTGGAAAGTGATTTTAACAGTAGGGTCTGGAGTACACATTTGTGTTCCTGACCCTATAGTGTTCCTTTAAATTGTTTTGACACCAAGGTCTCCTGAGTCATGATCTAGCCTCCTCATATTGCCAATTACAAAAAAATAAATAAACTGTCCACATTAGTGACACTTTTGGACAGAATGGATACATCTTATAATCAAAGTTGGAAGTGCACTCAGCCCCTCACAAAGGAATCCAGGGTGCTTCTTGGAAAGTCCTAGTACCCAGATAGGACCAGTGATAGATACTATTTAGAAAATAATCCAGGCACTCCAATAAATTCCAAATTTTAAGGCAATTTATTTGAACCAAGAAGTTCTTAGTTCAAATAAATAGCATTAAAATTTGGAATCTATTGGAGTGCCTGGATTATTTTCTAAATAGAATGGATACATCTGTCACAGAAGGAGATCTACTTTATATCCAAGAGTTCGAATGTTAAGCAGTGGGTCCCAAACCAATCCTCATGCCCCACCCCAAGATTTAGGAGTTACCCAGCTCTGTCCAATGTGCTTTTTATTTTTCCTAAAAAACACCTTTTGAAAAATTTCTCTTCAAAACTCAGTAATCCCTAAATCCTGAGCTGGCTGAGCACGAGGACTGATTTGGGAACCATTGTGCTAAGCCATATTTGTAAAAAGCAGTTTAACTCTTAACTGGGACTACACTTCAACTTGCATCCATGCATAATGCAGTATGGAATAAATGCTTGAGGCATATCTGTAGTGATGTCATGCACCACACAGATGCTTAAAAATAAAAATAGCTTTTTACTCATCTACGTAAGCGCCTCAATTGTTTATTAAATAAGAGCTGAAAAGAAATTCACTTTCAGGGAAGCAGTTACAATGCTTTGCGTGAAGCAAAAATATAAAAACTTTAACTTTTCTATTAGACTACTGCCATAGTGCTGTTCATTTACCCTTTGCTGACACTTACTGCAACAGATACCACACCCCTCACGCTCCACCGCAGAAGACCTCACAAGCTACAGTAGTTTATGAACATGCAATTTATTTGAGTACATTTTTCATATAACTACAAACTAAAACTAGAATCAAAATTGCCAACATTTCAAGGGGCACTTTGGCAGCACGTATGCACTTTGATAAACTCACAATGACAAATACAGCGACGCGAAGAAAAAAAAAATACATTTTAGCCACCTTCATGTGGGCCACAGCCAGTAGCTCTGTCACTATAATGCAGGACAGGACCCAGGACTTCTAGTGTCAAGAGCACAAAACACTGTACAATATCTTCTGTGTAGCAATGTTGGTATACTACACCTGTTGAGAGATTTACTCTTATGGGCAGAGTATGAATATGAAACTATGTATACAAAGTAAAAACACTCCAGACACAAAACACTCAGCTGGCCTAAGTGTTGTGTGTCTGAAGCCTAGCATACAGTTTATAAGAGTACCGATTTTAACTATTTAAGACACGTGGGAGCAGAAACATCTACCTAGCTGTCACCAAGACAGCCAGGGAAGTCTTCTGCTTCATTAGCTCTCAGAAGCCAAGTTAGGAAGCAGGTGCATGCTAAGCTTTAGTGTGTCTACCGTCTCAATGCTCTGTACTACACCTCAAACAAACATAGGAACGCTGCGACTACCGGTGATCACTGCTCTAGCATAGTGAGAAGCTTATGACTGGTGTATTCAACACACTGAAAATCTGAGGCATGGTAAGATTTTGCAGAGAGCAGATTTTCATAGCCTCTTAATAAAAAGGGCTAGACATGTTTTCTTTAGGGGTACATCTAAATTGTCAATTTCCCTTCAACCCCTTTGCAACAGAAGGTGTAACCAGCTAATGTAAATTCTGTGAATATTTGACATCTGTCAGCATGCTGCAGAGAGGTGTCCAATGGTGGCACAGCACAACCTTTCATGACGACCAGGTCCTCCCTGACAGCACTCCAAGTATTAGCAGTGACGGCAGCATAGGAGGATCTCAGGTCTTGACATAGGAAGAAGTACTTTTTTTGCTTTAAGAGTTTGTTTACATTAAAGAAGCACTATAGTGCCAGGAAAACAAACCATCCTCAGTGGCCCCCCTCTCGCTGGGCTGAAGGGGTTAAAACCCAAGTTAAATTTTCAGGAAGCAGAGAGTGCTGCCAGCCATGGGGTACTGCTGATTGGCTGAGAGCAACTGTTTGAGGGCAGTTTAGCCCCTGGAGGCAAGAGTACCTCCGGGGCCATCAGGCACCACAAGAAGTTAGATTAAGTTGTTTTGGTGCCTGGAGTATCCCATTAAGAATCGATAACAGGAACGGTAACTTACCAAAAAGTGTCTTAATACACACTCTTATGTTTACAGTAACCCTTTATCCTATCACATGACACCAGCAAGTGCATAAATGCAGAGAAAAGTGGCATGCCAGGGTAATCAGAGGAGATGTCCATACACTGGGCACAGCGGATACACTCCTTACAGACTGAATTGACCTGCAAAACGTTCCAGCACAAATATTCATAAACATGTGCTTCTGTTGTACTTTGCCCCAATCCTCTTGACATTGGGACAGATACAATTCTATAAATAAAGTGACTAAAACACAACACCTCTCCTAGACTAAGTTAGTTTGAGCGGGGGTCCTCAAACTTTATTTCCTGTAATATTTTAGAATTGTCGCATTTATTGTTTAGTGTTAAAGAAGACTAAACGTTGCGGCGTAAGTTGTTGCTCTACAAATGCAAACAATAATTCTACATACAGGTTCCTGGGGTCTGTGCCTTCAGATCAGGATGTTTGTTTTTCCCCTTATGACAAAGTTAGGTAAATACAAAACTGCAACATTGTGAGAGATAGAAAGTTGATTGTAAGCAATTGTGAAAAATAAATAGAGAGATTTTAATAGACCCCATATCAGCTGCAGGAGAAGTTTAGTGGCAGGTAGTTTAGTGGCAATGCTAAAGGTTACTATGTGTATCCACCTGCAGCATATGAAAGCTACATACAGCAGAGCAGCACTTGCTACATACTATCTCCCAAAGCCAGAAAGGTGAGTGACCTTCTATAACCCCCCTCCCCCCAATTTGGATGGGTGCATGAAGTCATGGCCCCTAGCATGACGTCACATGCAGCCTTGAGGGCTCCAGCAGTGTAAGCAGCCCGGGTACCGGCCCAGGCAGAGGGAGGTGAATGAGGTGCTTACCATTTCCTGATTTCGGCATGCCGACACTGTGAGGCGGCCTGGCCAGGCATTGCTGACTCCGGTGAAGTCAATGAGCGCGTACACACACACACACGCTAGACAGCCTTTACACGGTAAAGATTAATGCAGACCCCCGGCCGGGCGGTGAGGATTGATTGGGGAGCGCGGGAACGGCTGGAGGAAGTGAAGGAGGGAGGGAAGGAGGATATTCCCGCCAACACAGGGAGCGCGCGAGACTCCCCAGTCAAAAAAAAAAAAAAAACAAATCAAAACAATAAGACAGCGCGCGGCACGGGGACAGCGCGTGGGAGCTCTCACACACAGAGAGCAGAGCGAGACAAGGCTGAGCGCGCGGCTACTGCAACGGCTGCACCAATGGGCTACGAGCTGGAGCGCGAGAACATGCACAATATTTGAATTCCTGCCGCCCGCAGCCACTTCGGCTTTTCAAATGGGGGGGGGCGGAGAGGGAAGCGAGGGCGCCGGGCGCGCGTCATGTGACCACGCCCCCCAATCACTCTCCCGCGTTTTGTGTTTACGCGCGAAAACCCCCCCCCCCCCAAAAACAACAACTGGATTCTGATATGATAGAAAGAAGGGGGGAATGAAAAGGAGTGCGAGGAGGGGAGAAAAAAAAAACAGGACAATAGTTTGATATAGAAAATAGTTTTTATTTGATGGTCACTACAGTAATTTATTCACACATGACATCCATTTTGCTTTGAATGTTTTTTTTTTTTTTTTTCTATTTTGCCCTCCCCCCAAACACGCTCATTGGTCTGTCCCTTCTTATTTACGTTGATACGTTTGCGTAAGGTCACAACATACGACGCATGCGTAGTCTGCATTACTGCCCCCGGGGGGGCGGAGCTAGCGTTCCCGTGACGTCATTGTGTTTACTTCGGCAGCTACTAGGACTAACACTGTGACAGAGCATGACGGGAAATGTAGTTCACAGCAGTAGTACAGCGAAGGTACCTCCAGTGAGCTGTTGTTAAAGATGTTGGGATATAGAAACTATCATCTTGGACCACATGTTAATTTTTTATGATATAAAATATTTTATTTAACCCCTTATCGACCAGACCGTTTTTAATTTTTTTTAGCATTTGGGACTCTTTTTACATTTCTGCGGTGTTTGTATTTAGCTGTAATTTTCCTCTTATTCATTTACTGTACCCACACGTATTATGTGCCATTGTTTTCGCCATTGAATGGTCTGTCTAAAGATACCATTATTTTCATCATATCATATCATTTACTATAAATATAATATTTAAATATGATGAAAAAAATTTAAAAAAAGCACACTTTTTCGAACTTTGACCCCCAAAATCTGTTACCGCCAAAAAACACCCGTGCTAAATAGTTTCTTAATTTTGTTCTGAGTTTAGAAATGCCCAATGTTAACATGTTCTTAGCTTTTTTGGGGAAAGTTATAGGGTTATAGGGCTATAACTTTTTTTTCAAAATTAACGCATTGTAACACTGATATCTGTCAGGAATCCCTGTATAACCGTCCACATGTATTCGGGTGGGATAATACTCGCCTCCGTGTCCTTAATAAAATCATGACTTTACGTCACGAAATTAGTAAAATCTGGTAATTTTATTAAAGGACAGGGAGGCTCATATTATGCTAGTTCAAAGCTGAGCAACCACCGTAGTGGAAAAATTAGGAACTGGACGAAAAAAAAAACCCCGAAATGTAGATTCCCGAGACCAATTAGCAGCACGAGGAGATCTTCTAGTCTAGATCCTAAGGAGATAGCTTTAGATGCCATAGCGCCTCTAACAGAGTGTGCCCCATATGCGGAAGTGTCGATGTTTGCCAATGTCATGATCCATTTAAACCAACAAGAAACAGATAGATTGGACGTTGGAGTGCTAGAAACAAATCCGGATATGTAGGCTCACGTACTGAAGAGGTCCTCTCTTCATATTCCTTGAGGCAGAACACTGGGCATAGGTTGATAGTATGGGGAAAGGTAATATATGTCTTCGTGCGCCTTGAAATGTCAAAGAAAACCTCATTTCGACTAAAGGAACGTGCCGTAATGTCCAGAGCACTAACATCTGAGACATGTTTACAGGAAATGAGACAAAACAACATAACTAGTTTTGCTGTAAACTGCTTGAGCAAAAGGTCTTTATTCTGAGGCCAATTTTCGAAAAGTCGGAGAACAAGGCCCACGTCCCATAACAAGGAATATCTAGGACATGGTGGACGTGTAAATCTGATGCCGCAAAGGAGCCGACATACTAAGATATGTTACTCACAGTCCACTGGCAACAATCAATCTGTTACTTTTTTCTGCAACATACTTATTCTTATTTCTCATGCTACACTGTAACGTTTGATGACCCGAGGAGTTACATATGGTAGTAATTGATTTATAGTACCCCTCAAGCAGTCTTTTTTAACTTTTCACTTAAGATCACCCACACTGCACATTTACACGTTTTTTTAGTGAGTTATATTTAATAAAGTTTATAATTATTTCAAATTGATCTTTACTGTTTAGAGATAACTTGAGTGAGGCAGGGTGGTTTTCTCTATTTGAAACTATTGATCCTCACTCTCTTTCTATATTCTATACCAAGATATGTTGACCTGATGGAAATCCGTTCCAACCCTGATGACCCGCTGAGATAGATGATTTATAAAGGTTTATCGTACGGTACGCCAGACCATGTTCAAAAAGGGAAGTGAGGAAACCCAAGATATAACTCACAGGTGCAGAATGGGATCCACGTGTTGTTCCACGCCCCACCCGTTCCATGAGTTCCAGGCATGGAGATATGATTTTCTTGTTCCCAATGCCCAAGCTCCTGCCAGGAGGTCCGGAGTTGCTCTTGGAACATTTGGGGCGAAACAGAATCTCAGGAGAGAAGCCCTGCCAATAGTCTGAGGTGTCCCTGAAGTCAAAGGAGATACGATTTCCTGTCCAGGTCCAGTAGGAGGTTAGAGAAAACAGGAAGTAATCTTGGGTAATCCATGGACATTTCCATGATTGTAGGGAACCATGTTTGAGCTGTCCAAAATGGAGTTATGAGGATCAAGGAGGTCCGATAATGTCTGAGGTGTAGTAGTGTCTGGGCAATCGGAGAATAGTGGAAAATAGTAATGGCGCCTGTTCGGCCATGGTTGCAGGAAGGCATCTGACGTCAGGGCTTTTGGATCCGGTCTTCAGCTGAAAAACTGGTAGTTAGGAGATCAAGCGAGATGCGAATAGGTCGATGTGTCCCTAAGTGACTGCAAACAGAGGAAGATGGAAGAATTCAGTTGCCACTCGCTGGCAACCCGTAGATGTCTGGAGTACCAGTCCGCCACTATGTTGGACATTCCCGGAATGTACTCCGCCTGTACCGAGATATTGCTGCTGTTGTAGCCACCATTGGAGTTGGCTGTGCAGTCGAGAGGAACAGAGTCTGTATACGAGTGACCCAAGCAAAGGTGTTTGGCTTTTAGGCGTTGAAGTGCTCTGTAGTGTAGTGGGCCGGGAAATATGTCTTGAATCAATGCTGAGAGAAAGCCGATGATTCTGGCCAATTGTCTCCAGGTCAGTATAGGTCGGGCTTAAATGCGACAAATTTCCTTCTTTATGGACTTGATCTTGGAGGGAGGCAGTGGCCCCACACACGGAATCTATGGTGAATCCCAGAAACAATATGGATCTAGAAGGTTCGAAAACTGACTTATCCCAATTGATCAGGAAACCTAGATTGCCCAGCAGAGTCATCGTCCAAGACAGGTGTTCTTTTTTTTTTTTTATGATAAAAACGGTTGGAAATAAACAAGCTGATCGGGGAAGTCAAAAATACTATAACAAGACTAAAATAAGCACAGTTTAAAGGACCACTTTAGGCACCCAGACCACTTCAGCTTAATGAAGTGGTCTGGGTGCCAGGTCCCTCTAGGATTAACCCCTTTTTTTTATAAACATAGCAGTTTCAGAGAATCTGCTATGTTTATAAATGGGTTAATCCAGCCTCCAAATCCTCTAGTGGCTGTCTCATTGACAGCCGCTAGAGGCGCTTGCGTGATTCTCACAGTGAAAATCACAGTGAGAAGACGCAAGCGTCTATTGGAAAGCATTGTAAATGCTTTCCTATGAGACCGGCTGAATGCGCGCGCAGCTCCTGCCGCGCGTGCGCATTCAACCGAAGGGGAGGAGAGCTCCCCGCCCGGCGCTGGAAAAAAGGTAAGTTTTAACCCCTTCCTCTCCCCAGAGCCAGGCAGGAGGGGGACCCTGAGGGTGGGGGCACCCTCAGGGCACTATAGTGCCAGGAAAATGAGTATGTTTTCCTGGCACTATAGTGGTCCTTTAATATCAAAATACTACAATTAATACAGAGGATATGGATTATGGTACTTAGCTGAGGAGGTAACAGCAAAGAAAGAGTGGCTTAAGGTCACATGGGACATTATGGTGCTAGGAACAGTCTGATTGGATAACATGTTGATATTGTGGTTAACCCATTGGGTACATATTTTATTTTCAAAGCAAGGTCTAGTTACCAGTGGGGTACCTCAGGGATCTGTACTTGCACCCATTCTCTTTAATATTTTTATTAGTTATAATGCAGAAGGTCTTGATGTTAAGGTATGTCTTTTTTGCTGATAATACTAAGATATGTAACAGGATTGATGTTCCAGGAGGGATAAGCCAAATGGCAAATGATTTAGGGAAACTAGAAAAATGGTCAGAGTTGTGGCAAATGACATTTAATGTGGATAAGTGCAAGATAATGCATCTTGGACGTACAAACCCAAGGGCAGAGTACAGAATATTTGATAGAGTCCTAACCTCAACAATTGAGAAAAGGGATTTAGGGGTGATTATTTCTCATGCCTTAAAGGTAGGCAGACAATGTAACAGAGCAGCAGGAAATGCTAGCAGAATGCTTGGTTGTATAGGGAGAGGTATTAGCAGTAGAAAGAGGGAAGTGCTCATGCCATTGTACAGAACACTGGTGAGACCTCACTTGGAGTATTGTACGCAGTACTGGACACCGTATCTTCAGAAGGTTATTGATACTTTAGAAAGAGTTCATAAGAGGGCTACTAAACTGGTTCATGGATTGTAGGATAAAACTTACCAGGAAAGGTTAAAGGATCTTAACATGTATAGCTTGGAAGAAAGACCGGACATGGGGGATATGATAGAAACATTTAAATACGTAAAGGGAATCAACACAGTTAAGGAGGAGACTATATTTAAAAGAAGAAAAACTACCACAACAAGAGGACATCATCTTAAACTAGAAAAGCTACAATTTCTGGGGAAATTGTGTGAAGTGTTCTTGCCTCCACCAGTAGTCTACACCTGGAGTGGGCGGAGTAACTTATTTATTTATATAGCACATTTAATTGCAACATTGTTGTCAAAAGTGCTTCACAGTTACATTAAAACATACATTTCTAAAAACATTAGCAGGTGTACAAAAGGCCCTGTCTATGACATCACTTGCTGCTCCAGCCTGGCACAGGTC